CAAAGTGGAGAAAAATAATTAAGTAAGAAGTGAGGAAATATGACTTCCGTTAGAAATTGTTAATGAGTGGTGTAAATGATAATAAAAATTAGCTTAATGTCATATTTGCTCTTAAAGGGTTACCTTAGTGGTCTAATTGCTCCTAAAATTAGTTTAGTGTCTTATTTGCTCTTAGAAGTTTACCGTAATGGTCTAATTGCTCCTTTTCCCGAGAATTTTAACAAACATATCATATTCATGTCAAAGCTAAAAAATAACTAAGTAAAACTTAACATATTTTATCAAAAGCTTGAAGGAAAAAAAATCAACCTTAAGCTAAAACCGTATACAACAAATGAAGATCTGAAAAAATACTTTATACTTCAACACAGATAGAATGGTCTGAAAAATGCTCTTGACAGCGAAGAACCAGTTTTTTTACCTTTTGTATTGAGTTTGTTTTTCTATATAGTAACTACTACTTCATGGCTATTTTTTACATGCTTTATATATAAAACTTTTGAAATATATATATATAGAATGAAAGAATGGCCCAAATATAACCTATAACGTTTTAACAGGCAAAAATATGACCTTTTTAAAATTCACAAAAAAGTGACCACATATATACGCTTCTTCCGCGTCCAAATCTATTCTTCCGCATCCAGATCTACACTCCTGGGAACGATCGATCGCAGAGGTATACTCCATCACTCCTCCATCATCGACTTTACAGCCGGAAACCGATGCCTCTGGCGGCCGCCATCCGCTTCCACTTCTATGCTCCGCGCTCATCGTCGTTGTCCTCCCCCTCTTGCGCCGATTTCTGTTTGTCTACAGTGGCGACGGCTTGGTGCAACGGATTTGCGGCTTGGTCCGCATAAAATCGTTGAGTTCTTGAGCCGTATTCCTTTAGACTGGAGTTTAGCTACAGTGGCAAAGGCTTGGTGAGACGGATTTACGGCAGAGATTGGGTTTTAAGCGTGGAAATGGTGGTTCAGTCGTGGTTGGCTGGCTTGAGTTGGGTTGGTCGGAGCATGAGTTGGGGAGGATTGAATCTGGGCCAGTTGGTCGGAATTGAAGCTTAAGAGGTGGTTCGCGGCAGGTCAGGGAGTCATGGCTAGAGGAAGCAGGGGCTGGGGATGGAATTTCTGGTGCTCGGGTGTTTTGATGGAAGGGGCAATGGAAGTAGGCGTGTGGGAGAGACGCAGTGGGAATGGGATGGTGGTGGTGGCCGGAATACACTGGCCGGAGCAATTGTGTGTCACTACAGAGTTGTAATTGCGGAGATATCACTGCGGTGGTGTAACTATGGCTTGTGGAGGTGACCAGAGGTGGCCAGTGGTTATCGTCACTGTGGCGGTGTAATTGGCGTGAAAAAATTTGACGATGACAACTCTTAGTTACAAAAAAATGAACATAGTGACATAAAATTTTTGCTACAGTGACACGGGCGGGGGCAACAGTGACACGGGCGGTGGCTACAGTGACACAGGCGGTGGCTGCAGTGACACGGGCGGTGGCTACAGTGACACGGGCGGTGGCTACAGTGACACGAGCAGTGGTTGTAGTGACACGGGCGGTGGCTACAGTGACACGGGCGGTGGTTGTAGTGACATGGGTGGTAGCTGTAGTTACAAAAAAACGAACACGCAGTGACATAATTTTTTTGCAGTTATATCTTGTTTTCTAATTGCACATATATGACCTTCTTGATCACTTTTTTGCCCCTTTTTAAAAGTGATCACTTTTTGGGTAATTGGTTCAAAATTAGTAATATCCCAGTAAAAACCCCATATATATATATATATATATATATATAAGTATATATATATATATACACACACACACATATACATACATACATACATACATAGTACGTATATATTTACAGAATTACACATTGGCCGTAAATGAAATTTAAAAAAAAGGTGAGGTGGAGTGAGTTGAATGCAAAATAGAGAAGTATGTGAGGAGAGTAAAGGCATTAGTTTGTTTGGTATAATAATAAATAAACACAAGAATTGAAGAGTGGGGAAAGCAGTCCATTTTGCAGGGGACGAGCGCTATGCTCTCAGCCTGACTGTTGGTTTTTCATTCAGACATTTTAACAAATAGGTAACATGCATTAGACAACTAAATACATAAACTTAAAAATCTTCTAGCTTCTTCATAAATGAAAACGCAATTAAACAAATACCAGAGAAATATATACATGAATCTATTATGAAAAGTAAAACTAAATACATATTTAGTGTGTAAGAAAATTACCCGTTGGAAATACAGTCTCTCAGGAAGGAGATGAAACGTTGAAAGAAGGAGCACCGGAGGTGCGAAGACAGAGGAGGTGTGAAAATGGCGGACGTCTGGAAACGGCGGAGTGTCTTCGTCTGTAGGTCTCTCGCTGCTGAGCTTCGTCGATTGGAGTGGCCGCTGAGCTTCGTCGATTGGAGTGGCCGCTGAGCTTCGTCGATTGGAGTGGCCGCTGAGCTTCGTCGATTGGAGTGGCCGCTGAGCTTCGTAGATTGGAGTGTAAGGAGTGGTTTCAAAACCCTTCAAATTTCTCTAAGTATAAGGCCTGACCGCAGGGCTTAAAAATTTTAAACACATTCGATAAGGGTTACAAGTGGAACATGCATTGAAAGTAAGTTTTTTTAATTAAAAAAATGACCCCGTGCCAGATCAAACTTTTTGAAATTTATGAATATGACCCCATATATACTTTCTGTAACGGGTCAGATTACTAACCGCTATTGATACATTTTTTGTTTTATATATTCACCCTGTCCTATGAGATGAAACTTTTATTAATTGTGATTTAGACCCCGCGTGATCATACTATTACGGTTCTGAACTAACCCATATTAAATGTTAGTTATAGAATGCTTATTTTGCACTAGTGTTCCCTACTCATCAACTGTGAGCTCAATATAATCTTCATGTTCTTGTTCATCCAATCCCTGCACTTCTACTGTGAATAGCTGTGTCTTTTTGAACTGACATTTGTGATTCCTGTCATAAGGTTGATCACAGTAATAACATTGCCCCTTTGCTAACTTTTCAGCTCTAACTGCAGCCGGAATATAAGTTCTAGAACCATAATCACTGCTACCTTGGTCCTTGGATGTGGTATTCTTAAAGGGCAGACCCTTTAAGGTAGAAATTGGAGCTGGAGGAATCTTTTGGAAGGAAGTTGAGAGTTTAGTTGTGGCTGCAATTGTTTCTTCCTGAGATCTGGCCAACTGAATTGCTTCAGCCATGGATTCAGGTTTCAGGGCTCTTACAAATGATTTTAGGGATGATTTTAAGCCTCCAATGAAACAGTCCAAGAAGTATTTCTCTGACAGAGGATGACTTCTTCTAACCAGACTTTTAAGCTCCTCAAATTCATCTATATAGGCATCAATAGAAGTTTTCTGTTGACATCTATTAAATCTTTCAACAATATCTCTATCAGATTCATCCCTAAATCTGGCTATTAAGTCTTCTTCAAATTCAGCCCAATACACATCATTTCTATCAGCAAGATAATTTGTCACCCATACTTCAGCCTTCCCAGACATATTTAACGCAGCTATGTCTACTTGATGTTCATCAGGTGTACGGCATAAGGAAAAATATCTCTTACATTTCTTAAGCCACATACTACTGTTATTACCATCGAAATGAGGAAATTCTAATTTAGGGACATACCCTAACGGTTTAGTGTAATTTCCTCCCTTTTCAGCCTGATGAAGAATGTGCGGACTGTTGGACGAAGGTTCTTTCTCCACTTTCTTCTGCAAATCAACAACAACTCCAAATAGATGTTGAAATTGCTGCTGCATTTCTTGTTGGAACTGCAATTGAGATTGGACTAGAGCTTGCAATTGCTCTTCCATGGCGTCAATAGCTGATCGAACTCGTGAGCGAGGCGCCAGTTCAACGAGCTTCTGTATCAAGGCTAGGATCTGATCGCTCTGATACCAATGTAACAGGTAAGAATTCTACCGAAAGAAATGTAAACATTTAACAAGAGCTGAACTCCATTGTTAAACGTAAAGAAGAAAGGAGATATACGACTGTATAGAATGGCAGAAAACTGAGTTTATTCATCATAGCTCTCGCATTAATATACAGTGTAGTCTAGCTAGTCAGTTCACATCAACGGTTTACAACCAATCTGTTATTTTCTAAATAACTATTTCTAACTGTAGCTAAACTCCCGTTACAGTATTGCAGCAGAAATTCAGAAAAATCAAGAACAGAAAAACCAATTTTCTTGTCAACAGACCTAGGTCTTCCTCGTCAACAGCGCAGCTAGAGGTCGCGCTCCTGTTACAACAGTAGCTCCCAAAGTTGCGATGAACAGTGCCAAGAACTCAATTGCAGGTCGCGAATGAATAAAAACTCCAATTTCATCTTAGATTCAGTGAAACCCAACGGATTCACGAACTAAAAACCAGAAATCATGAACAGTAAATTCGCTTTTTGGAAGTTCAGGCGTGAAAACTCATTAAATCTCAAATCCAAGAACATAATTAAGTCAGCACGACATTACGACAAAGATCAGCAAAAGAGTCCGACCAATAATCAACAAACCAATAGCTTCAATCTTATAATCCATGGAGCCGTACACGCTAAGTCGCGAAAGAACTGGGTCGCAGATAATCCCAGGAGAGAACAGCTCTCAAATTTTAGCCAGTTGCTTTTTTAAGTTCCAAATTTCTGAACGGAAAAAGAAGATGATTTTTTTTTAATGGAGAAGATGAATTGAAAATGGACGGTCGCTCAACATTAAGGTTTAATACTCCGTAGCAACAATTATTCAAGAATATCCGACGTTTAAGGGATGGAAATGAAGTCAAATAAGCACTGCCTACATTAGTCCAGTGCGCAAAGGTACATGAACATATATGTATACACACATTTTGTATATGTTTGTGTGTATACACGCGCTCGCGCGCGCACACACACACATATATATATATATAATCTGAATAAAATAAGAATATGATCTAAAAACAGAATTAAAAATGAATCTGGACATTGAATTTAAGAATTGAACATTATCTCAAAATGAAATATGCACTACATGAATGAAAAATGCAGTGGAAGCTTTATAAATAAAGTGAAATTTTTGTAGGGTTGCAAAGTTTACATTATCTTAACTAGAAATATGTAATTCTATAAATGATGATGTTGGATAATTCATCCGCTAATTCATTTTTCTTGTCCAGCTTTGTCTCCCATCAACATATGTATAATCACTTGGTCACTTTCTTACACATTTGTTCCCCCAAATAGCTACAAGAAAAAGAATTGAAAGCAATATATAAGTTCTTTTATTGAATATTACATGAAATTTCAACGATGTGAAAATGTGATGATTTTTTTTTTGATAAAGAAAATGTGATGATTTAGATAAAATAATAGGTTGTTTATTTAATTTAATTTGAAAGAATTTTGGTATATAATTTTGCACAGAAAACATGAAATAAATTACAAATTTATGACTAATAAAAGCCGTTTACAAAAATGTGACCACATATGTCATTGTCACTGAGCAACATGTTGTGATATGCACAAATTTTTCTGGTGATTATTTCTGACAAATTTTCAAAAACAAATTGAAAATGTGGAAAACGTTTCCATAAAATATTTTCTGATGACTTTTCCAGCAACAGTTTCTGGCTGTGGTTTCCGGTGATGACAGCAGCTAGGTAGGGGTGTGGACTTAAAATATTTTCTTCACAAAATAGACTTTATTTAGTTCTATTAAAATAATAAAATATTTCCTAAATAAGAGAGAATGAGTTTTATATTACAAAGAAAACAATGGTACTCTATTGAGAAAATTGACAATGCTTTACTCATCATCATTAGGGAATTCATTGAAATTTGAATTAATTGAACAAAAGGTACTCATATTTTATCTTTTCTACCAAATAGAAATTATACGGAGTAATCAGCAAGTACACGACCTGATTAAAACAACTCATAAGTCATACCTATTGTACCAGCAGCAATCATGGCAGACCACGGCACACTTGCGGCGGTCCTTCAGAGCAAAACCCTCAGAAGAGTAAGACAATTTGCACGTCGCCTGAAGCATCCCAGAATCCATTCCCTCATCCAACCAAATCTCAGTCTGAATGTCTAAGACCGCGGGGACGGGCTTCGCGGTTGGGCCTCCCGCCGCGGGTTTGAGGGCCGCGGAGGTGCTGGCGTCAAGAACCACGCCCTCTGCATGCAGATCGAGGGCGTGGTTATAGGCGGACTGAGGCGGCGCGAACAGGTCAAAAATGGCGGTGCTGGCGAGCTGCCCCTGCGCGGCAGGGGCAACTCCTCCTAAATTTAGGGACGCGTTTGTGCTCCTCCAGCTGAGAACAATGCCTTTATCTGATCTCGGGTTGTATTGCTCAACGGTGAAGTTGAAGCTGCCGGTGAAATGATTGTCGCCGGTTAAGGTATAGTTTTCCAGAACCGCCGCATCCACGACGGAGATATGCGGCAATTTTGGGACGGCGTGGGTGTGTCTCCATACTTGTACATATACAATGAGGAACACCCATAAGCATATGTACGCGGCGTATCCAAGTACTACCTTACAGCAAAATTTTGCTCTATCATCCATTTTTTCCCCTCGTACTCCTTATTTAATAACGTATAATAACCATCCGTAATTACGATCAAAAAAAAAAAAAAACCATCCGTAATTAATAAGATGCCAAGGATCGATTGAGACTTTAATAATGTATTTATAGATGACTTCGTCCAATTTCCGATCCGAAAAAAAAAACTTTTATGACTGTCTATATCTTTGAGTTTCATATGTTTATAACAATCATTCTTCGTCTATACTTCCTCCTCTTTTTAGTTGCGAACACTCTTTTTTTCACGTTTCCCAACGCACAACTTTGACTTTTATTATATTTAATTTTCTATTAGTAAAAACATTTTAAAAATAAGATTATGAAACTTCGTAATGAGATGAATTCAACAATATTTTTCAAAAAATTTAATTCACATACATTAATATGAATAGTGTATAAATTCGAATGTCGCAACTAATAGGATAAGGAGGATAGTATTGCAAAGTACGGAGTAGTAAAAAAGGTGTATACATTTGCTGATTTGCCACCAGGCGAAGTATGGAGCTAATAGGGGATGTCCCTTTCAATTTTTTCCCTATACACACAAACACACACACAAATGTTCATGTCCGGAATTCCGGACAGGAACCGCCGTCTTGACGGCAGCGTTTGGCCGCCTTCCCGGTGACATTTTTTGATGAAATTTTTATGGCATGTTCTTCATCAAGTCTAGTTTATCCAAAAAAAATTCAGCCAAAAACTCAATCGGGAAGGTCGTCAAATGATTTTTGCAAGTTAACTGGTCCGGAATATGTATTTTCCGGACCGACGCCGCCGGACAGACGGCGGTTACGGTCAGGAATTCCTGATCATAAGAGTACTCTCTCTATATATAGTACTCCCTCCGGTTTTTAATAAACTTCACACTTTCCGTTTTGGAACGGTCTAAAATAAACTTCACACTTCCTTATTTCCCTTTTTAGCAAAGAAATCTACATCAAAACAGTGTCAAACAGTGCCAAACAGTGTCTCAACAGTGCCAAACAGTGTCTCAACAGTGCCAAACAGTGTCGAACAGTGCCTCAACAGTGTACTCTACAGTAAAATCAAATTTCTTTCCTTATTTTGTGTGAAGTCAAAGTGTGAAGATTAAGAGCCCGTTTGGAGAACTCTGTTTTCGGCTTATCAGGCTTATCAGCCAGCTTTTTCACCAAACACGTAACTTTTACTTTCGCGCGCTGAATTGTGTAATAAGCCGAAAAAGTAAGGTTAGAGTTACTTTTCTGGCTGTATTGGCTGAAGTTACTGTAGAGGACCATTTTAGCTATTTTTACATATAATTTTTTCTTTAATTTATTAATAAAATATATTTTTAAAATATTTTTTTCTTAAATCAGCAGAATCAGCCAAAACAGCCACTCCAGCCAGAATATCATAAATTTCAGCAGAATCAGCCAAAACAGCCGATTTTGGTGCTACCAAACAGGCTCTAAATAAAACCGGAGGGAGCATGTATGTATTTGTATATACTTTATTACACTGCCGCCCTTACCTCCAAGCGGGAATTCACTCTCCTATATACACAGGTAATTGCTGCCTTTTTCTATATGGATTGTGTGCAACTATGAGGTGCACACATTTTACACTCACACATGTCTACATATTATTGCTATATTTTTTAAACGAGATGCTTGTATAAACATGGGTGTGGTAAATGTGTACACATTTCATATATTTAACATTGAATATATAATATTATACGATAGTAAAAGACTAGAAAGTCCCCATTAAAAACGTCTTTCGTGACAGTACATGTATTATAATCTTTCATGTACGTTTCAGTTAAATATTTTTAAAGTATATACTGAATCATTATTTTAAAACAGTATATGAGGCCGTTTGGCAACACTGTTTTTCGGCTTATCAGCCAACTTTTTCACCAAACACGTAATTTTTGTTTTCGCGCGCTGAATTGTGTAATCCTATACCTAAAAGCAATACACTGGAGAGAGAAAATTCTCCCGCCTAAGTGATTAGGGCTGATCCGTAAGCGATTAGAGCTGATCCATAATTTCATACTTTATCGACTTTCCACCTCTTTCTTCTCTTCGCCAGTAACGATTCCTCCCATTTCCATCGATGAATTTCTTCTCACTTTATCGGCTTCTCACCCTTCCAATCCACACAGTATCACACCCTAGCCTTTACGCACCACACCTATCCGGAGAGATACATTCTCTTTCTCTTCTCTACGCCAGAAATGCCTCCTCCCATTTCCAGGATTTCTTCTCACAATTCGAATTCATCAAGTCTCAAGCCTAGGTATTGCACCTTAATAAATTCAGCCGATTGAAACTGAGCGGATTGATTTTTAACTGATTTTCTATTTGCTAGGTCTACGCAGAGATGGCCTTTAGTTCCGGAGTTTGTTGCCCTGCCTTCGTATCAAGCTTCATCCAATTTCGGATTTGCATAAAAGCTTCATCTGCCTAGAGATTCCTTTCAATCATAGTATCAAGATTCATCTGCCTGGAGATTCCTTTCAATCTCCGAGTTCTTCATAGCTGCCTCAGTTTTTGTTGCAGCTGTAGAGGATGAACATTAAGGTACGATATTTGAATTGAATTGTGTGATATAGTTGGTAGTATACTTCGTAGTATATTTTTGATTTCATTAGATCTTTCAATTGAATATCCTGGAGATTCCTTTACATATATACTTCGTAGTATATTTTGGATTTCATTAGATCTTCAATTCGATGATTGAAGATGCAGTAGTTTCTTTATTAGAAAATTTCAGTTTCTTTGTCACAAAGTTATTTATTTTGCATATATGTTGTTTGATGAAATGTTTAGATGATCTAAACACAAATTTTAATTTCATATATGTTGTTTATCACATATATTTTGATGTGAAATTTTTTAGCATGTTTCACATCAAATCTTTATCACAAATTCTTTATCACATATATTTTGCATATATGGTGTTTTTAGCATGTTTCACATCAAAATTTAATAGCATATGTATTATACTTTAAAGTTTTTACTGAACAATTGTTTTCAGTTTTTTGTGTTTGTGATGGACAATATATTTCTATATAGAATCAGTTTGTTAGCCTTCATTCTCACAAACAAGCATTCAAAATAGCATTGCAATCTCACCAATTGAGCATGAATTTGATTAAATAGACAATTGGGTGTGTTTTTGTCTACATGTAAACCTCAATTTATGACTTTTGTTTCAAGATAGTACAATTGGGACAATGGTCATACAGAAGCATAGGGAGTGTTTTATCAGCCCTTTTTTCATTGAATTATATTCTAGGTTTGGAATATGGAATTAGAGTTTAGTTACATCTTTTCATCTGGTTATTTGGTTTCAATATTTGCTAATGGAAAATATTTTATTGTTGTGTAGCCTGTGAAAGGATCTGAGGAAGAGATCCTTAGTTAGGAAATCTGTAAGCTGGAATATGAAGCTGAATACCTTCAGGTTATCTATGTTTGGAATAGGAAGATGAATTCCTATTCATCTTGATGGACCTACTGTAATTGGAATGATTAAAAGAAAGATTGATAATACATTTCCAGATTATACTGCAATTAAAGGGTATGAATCTGTTCTTTGATTCACTTATTCCTATACTTTTCATTCCTATACTTTTCAATATTCACATATAACAAACGCCCTTTCCATTTTGACATAGGCTCACCTCTCACGTGCAGCTAAAGAAATTCAAATATGCCCCAGAGAATTAGTTGTATAATTGCTCAGACTATTATGCTCTTTATGTTTAATATATATGTTCTATTAAGGTGGATTATACGTGTGTATAATTGTATATATGTTTTATATGTTATAAAAATCATCACTTTCATTCCAAGATTTACTTATTCCATCACTTTAATTTTGTTGTTTACAAAGTCCAATTGTTTATTGGCTTCCTTTTCTCTGAACTTTTGTATAAAATGTTTAGCTCTCCGTAATCTATATTTCCATAGTATCTGTGTCTAAAGCATTACTAACCTTGCTTTCAATCTGATCACAAATATCTTTGCTATCCACTTTTCTCCATTTAGTATAAATTTTTTTGTATTGACATCTGTGCAATATGAATACTGATTTTACTTCATGTTGTCATTCCATCACTTTAATTTTGTTGTTTACAAAGTCCAATTGTTTATTTGCTTCCTTTTCTCTGAACTTTTGTATCAAATATTTAGCTCTCTGTAATCATATTTCCATAGTATCTATGTGTCTAAAACATTACTAACCTTGCTTTCAATCTGATCACAAATATCTTGGCTATCCACTTTTCTCTATTTAGTAGGATTTTTTTTGTATTGATTTCCATCTAAAGGTACCATCCTTTAGATGGAAATCAGTTTGTTTGCTCTCAAATGTTTTCTAACCAGAATGTGAGTAACTTCAGGATTTAGAGTCTTCATCTTCAACAAGAACTAATTAAAAGGTAGGCCTTTATATAATGTTCTCTTCAGATTGGATTCTCTTTTCATTTTCTTTTTTTCCTGCTATACTCTCTTCAGATTGGGTCAGTTTCTTTTAAATTTTTGGGCACTGGAATGATAGTTTTTTACCCCCTTCTCTGTTTGGTGTTTTTACCAATGATGGAATGATCTTAGTTTGATACTCTTGGTATTTCATTTCAGCCGCTAAATGTATTTCTTTACATCCACACTACAGATGTTTTTAAAAGAGCATGTATTTCTGAATTTTACTTCACTAGCTTAAAATGTCAGAAATACTAAAATTTTAAGCCTATGTAATTATAAAAAATTTAACCCTTGAGATAAAAACTTATGTGGTAAAGCTGAATAGTCTTTAATGTGAGATGTATTTAAATGTTCTTTTGATGTGTTTTATAATGTTTTCTGAATTAAAAATGAT